AGATTACAATCGAACTTGCTCGAGAAACTTCTATTAGAGAGATCGCTTTCAAATGTGTTACCCGTTATAGTGATTTCAGCGTGTATTGTACCTGTATTAAGAGTCCGTCTTTGTTAAGAAACAAACGTCTGGGCTCGTGTTCATGAAACCGTTCCCAGGCTCAAACTCAGATTTTGGGTTGAAACTTAACCTATTTCATGTTTTTTGATAAAAAAAATGACAATATGTCAATAATATTTTAAAAATGAAAGAAATTTGGAGAGATATTAAACCAAATATTGTTTCCAATGTCTACCTTTAGGACATCAAAAACACAGTTCCTTAACACCGGTGTTACTGTATATAATTGATCTTGTACAACGCAAAAACAGTATTCTAAAATTCACAAATTTTCTTTTTTTCTAAGCAAAATATTTCTAATAGGGAATTATTACACATTTTCTGTGTAGTAAAGTGTTTTCCTTTTCGCTGTATCGTAAAACACCTACCATATATATTTGCCATAGACTTTAGCTTCTGAATAGCCTTTCCCCCTGCTATACAATGTAACTACAAACTCGACTCGCCGTGGGCCTCAGTATCGTGTGTGATATCAGTACCCAGTATGACTCGGACTGGATAGGGCGCACTGATCTTAGCTGATGTTGTTTCTTATAAAGGATCTGAGATGTTGGATTTTGTCTTCACCACCGATTAACAGGTATCTGTACAGTGCTAATTTCATTATTGATAAATAACAGTCTAATGTCTTGTCACCAAAATCTGCTTACTTGTCTATATCCTTACCTGTCTATATACTTACCTGTCTATATCCTTACCTGTCTATATACTTAGTCTATATACTTACCTGTCTATATACTTAGTCTATATACTTACCTGTCTATATCCTTACCTGTCTATATACTTACCTGTCTATATCCCTGTACAGAACCAAACGCTTTATATCAAGATTTACATTTTATGAACGAAATCAAACTTCGGTTACATTTTAAGTTCAAAACCGCTTTACCTTTGACGAAATATGTAAGAAAACATACTTCAGTCGGGGAGTTTTGTGACACGAACGGTTAGGGAAGTTTTGTGACACGGACGGTTAGGGGAGTTTTGTGACACGGACGGTTAGGGGAGTTTTGTGACACGGACGGTTAGGGGAGTTTTGTGACACGGACGGTTAGTATTGCACTTAGTAAGTTTTATTGTAGACAAATGTTCATATCTTTAACACATTACATACTATGGCCGCACCATAGCGAACTATGTGTCACCTTCTTTGATGACTAATATTGTTTGTCTTATATTTGGATTCGTACATATCGTATACTTCTTGGTAAAGGCAATGACGCGTTTTTAATCTTTGCTAGATTAAACAATAGAATTAGATTAAATTGCAAATCAACTACCTATCCGGAATTGCAATTATCTACCTTGTCACTAATTAGTACATGTACCTAACGTGCAAAGCTAACCAAATAACACCAAGTTGACTTGTACAGTTATTTGATTAACAATATTACGTTCATATTAATAATATAATATTTAGTTTAAACAATATCCTTGAGGAATAAGGTAGCACAAATATAATACAAAAGAAAAATGGAATCAAGCTTAGAGGTAATGTAAACTACCATTGAACCTGTGTGACCGAGCTGTCCGGCTTTATGTTATCCGCTGTTCCTGGTATTTACTGTAATTCATTCTCTAATAAATTTCAAACAACTCATACAGGATGCATTGAATTGGAAAATGGAAAACAAATAAACAAGAACAATGAGAATGGTATCAAGTTTACCGAAATATGTTTGTGTATACTGATAAAACGCTAATGCTGTTCTTAAGCGGTGATATATTGACTTGAGTATAAACCTACCAATAGACTGCAAACTCGAGTCTCTAACGAAACTCACATTATTAATAAGCTTAAATTGAAAATATTGATTTAAAGATACTAATATACCAATAGTTAACATCATATGAACTTTACTTATGGTTACAATCACAGTTTTAATAGACTGCAAAATCGAGTCTCTAACGAAACTCACATTATATATAAGCTTAAGCGAAGTGCGATTTTCACTTGGGAACGAGGATACGAAATAATCAGTAGACGTTAAATGCCCATGAATATAACACGTTATAAACACAGGGACCAGAGAATTTGTTCCAACCCATCCTGATAACAGGGACCCGAGAATTTGTTCCGACCCATCCTGATAGCAGGGACCTGAGAATTTGTTCCGACCCATCCTGATAACAGGGACCTGATAATTTGTTCCGACCCATCCTGATAACAGGGACCCGATAATTTGTTCGGACCCATCCTGAACACAAGGACCTGAGAATTTGTTCCGACCCATCCTGATAGCAGGGACCTGATAATTTGTTCCGACCCATCCTGATAGCAGGGACCTGAGAATTTGTTCCGACCCATCCTGATAACAGGGAACTGAGTATAAGTTTAAGCTACCTAATGAATATTTGGACCTAACCAGGCGTGTACAGAAGAATTTTCGGTAAAAAAGCAGCCAACAGTGCTAGTGATGAGTTGATCTGAACCCGTTAAACGATTGATAGTACCACAGCTTAGGGTGATATTCATATAGGTGTTAAAGAAGTGCTCAGGTCCCTGTGATCCGGACGTGTAGGGAGTAATATAATTTGGTCACCTCTCGGTAAAAATGCCACCCGCACTGATTAACAAGTCCTGTGGTTATATACGATAGTAAGAATGATTTAGACATATTACAGAGTATTAGGAATAACACCACGCGGTATCATAATTGATTTACGCTGATACCTATTGGAGGGTCTTACTTCTATTACTCAACGTTATGTACGGTCGATGGCTGTGGTATATCCCCACAACGATAGACACACACTTGTATGAATTATGACATTGATATATTTGCTTTGTACCGGCTTCGCAAACAGAGATCCACTCAAACTTCTCTCTATTGAGGTGTCCTATTGGGTGTCGAGTTAATCCGGTCAAACGTATGTTTGAATTATACTGCAGGTCAGGTGTTAATAACGTTAACAGTCGGAAACATCTTTGGCTTAAGCAAATTGAATCTGGCTGTAATTCACACGTTACAAACTGACTTGAATGTCCCCTTTACTTCATCTGACATTGTCCTGTTACCTTATACTGCATTCTTAAATTGAACAACTTAAAATGTACAACAATGCCCCTCCTTTAAATAAAGTTAAAACGTGTAAATCGCCTCCAGTCCCCTAAATACGTATTCCGTTCGGGATAACTCTATTCCATATAGTTGCACCCGGTGACTTCCAGGGAATTAAACGGTTTCCTTAATCCTGACTAGGAAATACGCAAAATCAAATAAAAATATTTAAATAAAAAATCAGAGTATTTTTATTAGCGGAGGATTATCTATCGCCAAAATGCAGCCAACATCGTCAGTGACCTCAATGGAATAAACAATTGTGAAACATCTTTGCTGTGAAGCTTTGCAGAATATCAAAATCATTAAGTGTTCATGTGAGGGTATATCAGACAAACGTTAATTGTTCTTGGGCTAATTGCATTTAACTGGAAACTTCATTCCATGTTGCATTCCCTTTTTATTGTAAACTTTGTATCCAATTCCAGGATAAGGGGAGGAAGAAAATGAGTCAATCAATATGTATTTATGGGAAATACGGAAATACAGAATTTCCTCACTTTTCACAGACATGTGTGTTTCCCTTTCAAGCAGGAAAAGATTAATAAAATCTTTCATCTCCTTGAGGGTGAGATAGGGGGATCTCAACCCGAGAGGGGAAGATTCTTGATTTGCCAAACACGAGGCTTTGCCGAGTGTTGGGCAACTTAAGAATCTTCCCCCGAGGGTTGAGATTCCCCTATCTCATCCCGGAGGGGTTGAATGATTATTTTTCTCTTACCTGTTGTTCCTGTCCAAGTGTAAGACGAAACATATTGTTTGTAAACAGGAACACATGGATAGCGTATTAATATTATATGTATGCGTCAGACGGTTTACGCATCATATTTTAAACATTTTAAAATCAATCCCATCTTCTTTGATGTCAAATGTAAACACGACAAGATTAGCAGACGAACCTGTGTATGTGTGTGACCTCATAAAAGTAGTTCTTCTTCCGGATCACATCAGTGACGTCAGGTTTATTGTGGAAAACGTGCAAAGAGCACGTGTAGCTTGTCTCAACCCTAGGGTGAGACAAGTAAATCTCACACCGGTAAAAGTTAGAATAAATCTGTCCAGGATAAGAGGACAGCCTGTCACCCCCTAGGGGCAGAAAGGCTCGTGCACAATGGCGCGATCTACGTCATAACAATAGTATGCTAACCACTCCGCTAAATAGTATGACGCCAATTCGTTAATACATTGACATCACGTTAAACAGTAGCAGACCATGGAAGATAACTCTGGATTTGCTCGAAAAATATATGCAATCAACGCTTACTTTTCATGCAATCACCGGCGGATTTGTGAGTGAAACAGGATCGGAGAAAAACAATATCCCCCTACCTTGAGGGTGTGACAGAAAAATCTCTAATCCTCGGGATAACATTCTCGAATGGCTTACCTTCAGCAAAGTCTCGGCTTAGACAATCAAGAATATCATCCCTCGGGTTGGAGATTTCTCTATCATACCCTTACGGTAGGTAAAGACTATTTTAGTCATACCCCCGTGTGTAGAATTTCCCCAATCCATTGTATAAATGAATGACGCTATTAATCGCTGCCGAGAAGTTTGATGTACTCTTAGTACTTAAATATATAGTCATAGCATATTTTGTTATTCTTGATTTCATTTCGTTCCGCTCATTATTTCCTTCTGGCAATCTCATTCAACTAAACTCTCACTTTATGTGCCGAGGTCTAGTCACTTCAACAAGCGTCTGATTAACCGAGACTATGCAACCACGGCTGAGTACTTATTGTTTTGTTATAATCGTGCTTTATGTCTGTTTTTGTTGTTGATCTAATGTGTTCTGTCTTTCTTTGGTTTTACAGGTGATGCTATGACATGACGTAATTGACAAAGATTGTGATGTCATCAGGGATACCTTAGAAACATTTATTTAAAATGGCCAAACGTCCAAAGAAAATAGTGTATGGCGACCAGATTCAGAGATCAGAATACAACGATGGCGTCCTTAGAAACAACAATCGAGCAAATAATAGACTATCTCGCGAAATGTTAATGTACGAGAAAGCGCAAAAGGTCATACTAAAAGACCTTGGAAAAGAAACACAGTTGTTGCGTTCAAAATTAAGCATGTCGACAATAGCGTCGCCACGTCTTGCGTTCGCTAAGAACACAACTACTGACATTGCGCCTTTTACAATATATGGTATGTCAGCGAACCCTAAAAGCAAAAAAGAACCCGCGCGGAAGGTTACACTGAAGCCAATTTACCCTTCTGTCGTAGAAGGAAGTGCAACTCCCCGGGCAAGTTTTAACCCACGGACAAGCTTCGTAAACCCTAGGAATCACGTGGTAGTGAGTTCAAGCTCACGGAACGGACTAGCGGATTCTAGAGTAGAGAAAGTGAATTCCAGGAATGGTTTGTTAGATTCACGAAATAACATATTAGACTCGCGAAACGAACTCGTTGACGGATCAGTAAGTGCTAGAAGTGGTGCGCTTGAACCACGGATAAGTTCAAGAACAAACATGAACAATTCTCGAAACAGCGCAGTTCAGTTAAATGCACTTACTACTTCGCCTGGTAAATTGACATCTTCAAAATCAAGAAGAGCAATGAAATCTGGTAAAACTGGAGTTTCTAATCAAGAAAGCGAAAGTGAGTTTTCAACAGTGGAAGCTCGAGGGGGAAGAGCAAGTGTCGTTTCCGACATTAAGAGTCGACAAGCTCCTTCTCGGTTAAGTTTTATTGATATACTTGCAGAGGCGGAAGAACGAAAGGCAAAGGAAGCGAAACTTGAATTAGAGGCTAACTCGAGTACAACGACAATGCTTCGTCCGAAAACACCAATTCTGACAATTGATGGTGACGTCACAGCGTCACCTGATGATGTTAATGAGGAATACAAATCGAGCCGCCGAGGAAGCCACATTGGGGCGACGCCTAAAGCCACGGCAGTGACGGTTAAGCAGAAATGAGAGGGAATTTGTGTAATGGAGGGAGGAAAACAATAGAGAATGGAATGTGTCGGTCCATTTGGTGATTACTTTGACTACAGCTAAATTTTGTACTGTTCTCAGAGTTATACTTACAAATGTAATTTATTGATTTTGATTTAAAATGATGCATCAATTTTGATCGTCAGAGATTGAATTTACAGGTCTAACACAATATTATATGTGAAAACATATACGTCTGTGAACGACAACAGGTAAGACATCTGTTATGTATGGCGGTGTTGCTTTATAAAGACTTATTCCCGTGAATGTGTGAAATTTTTAAGAGGTTGATTTGGCAATTATTATTTCTTTATTTCCTCCAAATTGAAGAGTTACAAAAATATACAGTGTAGTCAAAATACAAATCAAATATTATAAATTGATACTTAAATGCACATAAATACATCAGTTAACTACAGAGATGAAATCTGTATGATTTTTGGCTTTTCCGAGAGGTCCCGAATAGGACAATGCAGGGAAACTCGATAGCGTGAGGGAAACTTGCTGTACATAAAAACGTCACGTGATCAATATACAATGTAATCCAATCATCTTGATTAGTTAAAGAAATAACATGCCACACACATATATATATAGATATATTACATAAATGACGTCATATGAAAAACTAATTATCAACTTGTGCTAATGCACGTCTTTAAGATATATAACAAACCACACGTTTGGTGTTATTTAGTTCGCGATATGTATCACACTGTTATGTTGTTATTTTCAAAATATTTAAATATGAGAATGACATGGTTTGTGAATAAATATACACATAACTAAAAAGGAATTTGGGTCGATTTAAATAGTTATCTCCCTCACATAATGTTTATTCCTAAACAGATTCAAACTTCACACGTGCTTGCCGACTTCTACTTTGAAGAATCTAAAATAGAAACCCATTAAAACTGTGTAAATTTGCATTATANATAATTTGTGTATTAAGCGTTTTTCTAAACGAACTACGAGAGGTTTTGTATCGTAACATGTTCACGATGTCCACAAACTGTGTATTTAATACCATCAGTATTATTTAGCGTGATGGCCTACTAGGTCTACCCTCACGCTGAACTAGCACCCCTTCCCACAGGAACATGATATGTGATGCTACATGTTATTTATTATATATTTATAATCATCAATACATGTCCGGGCCCTGTGTATTCCCCTGTCCGAATTTCCACCATTGTTGTCATTTTGTGGGATCAGCATGTAGCGTTCAATGTATTACTTATGTGTTTTTACTGGCAATTGTGAGAGTTTAAAAGTTTAATCGTCCTTAGTGTGAAACATGTATAGACATAATTTATAGATGACAAGTAAATTAAGTTTTGAGAGGTTGCATGTATATTTCTTGTTTCTTGGTAAATTTCAATTCAGTTTACAGTGTAAACACCACGTTTGTCCATGAAATGTCAAAATGTTGCCCTGTCTAAATGTCAAAGTGAAGGTAGACAGAAGGCATATTTATGAAAATAATTGATTTATATCCATTATATTTATTGTACCTATTACAAACGGTCACATTATTATGAAGGTCTATAGTTTATGTAAAGTGTTATTTATTATTAAAGATTTAAGTCAATAAACAAACAATAAAATTGCACACGAACACCCTAGTTGTTGTTGTTTTTATTTCAATTCTATCTTGTTGAAATATTTGTAATAAGGTTATACAATGCTACCTATTCGGGGTCTTTAAATAAAGCATACAGTTACATTAAAATAAAACATATGTAAACAATAAAACGCTCTTTGCGTTCGAACGCAATAGTAAATATGTTTCGTTTTTACAAATCACGTCACAACTTTCGTATTTGTGCGACTCGAATTGCTTTCAAAGCACTCACCGTTTAATATGCATATTTAAAAGTGTTTTTGAAATGTCATTTACACCACGTTCAGTAAAACTGTAACAAAACACCACATGTCAAATAAATTAACTTATGTTACAACAGTTATGAAACAGGTTATTTCAGCTGATAGTAATCACTCTTGTTGTCCCGGATGTTAGCGCACAGGAGGGTCTTAATGTTGGAGGAAACAGGAAAACGACCAGAGAAACCCTACGGGTTCGGACAGGTGACCTCATACCATTTTACGTCCGATCGGGGAATCGAACCTTGGCTTCCTTGTTGAAAGGCAAGTATGCTATCCACTGCGCCACCCTACTAAACCATATTGTCAATATACCAGAACCACAAATTCAATGTTGATGCAAGCAAAAGGCCAGAGAAAACCGAAGGGACTTCAAAACAAAAAGCAAGGTGTCATGACTTACTTAAAACGGAAAAAAACATTATACAGTTATATTACAGTTATATAGAATGGTATACCATGCACTTCGTACGGCACTTCTTGTCTTGATTCTCGTCAAATAAAAAAAACTGTCGGTCACTTATATTTAAAATTAAAAATGTATTTGAAAGATATACAGAAATGTATGACATACTTGACAGTACACAAGCATTGGTGACGTATTTGGAAGAGCTAGATGTTAGCAAAACCGTAATTCGAACTCAAAATCTATAAAACTAGGACAAAATAATGAACAAAGGGAAGACGTACATATGGACAGACTGGGTGTCCCGGAAGGGTAAGCGTCTTCTGGGTCATCGACAAAAACTGACATACAAAAAACTGAAAGAAAGGGGTAACTGAAGCAAGAGTAGGAAACAAAAGAAAAGCGCATCTTATTAATAAAATATTTATTAGTTTGTCATCGATCATTAAATGAAACTTCATGTGTTGTTCTTTTCAATCTTGAGGTCATGCTCGAAAATGGACTCTAGATGTTTAATTCCGTCCAACTTCCTGAGCCCATCAACGTAGATCCACTCCATCGCCCTGTACGGCGCCAACAATTTGCAGAAAAATATCCCGCTCGTGCTCGCCTTGGCGGAATTGTAAGGCACGTGGTATGATTCTGACGTCACATGAACGCCATCTCTGTCGTCTTCATACAGCAATTCCTGATAAAGTAAATACCAGAAGATTTTAACACTGGTAAGGTATAAGCTCAATGGAGTTAGTGTCCTCTGTGATATATAGAACGAGTTATGTCCCCTAGTCTATGTTGCTCTCCCGGTAAAATTATTTTGTTCTGTGTTGTGTTGGTAATTAGTTAATTGTCTTTCTACAGGTCTAGTCACATGCTTGTTAAATAGCACTTTAAAGCATGTATGTCTCTTGTCTCAATGTTACATCACGACATTCTGTACAATTCTTACGAAACTTTAATGAATTAGCAAATATTGTATTTTTCGGAACACTCTCTTAATCTTAATTTAATGTCTTAAACTTTATATTTTTCTGAGCACCTTTTCATACATTGTAAGAAATGTATTGATCACGTTAAATAAGGATAGACAATTTTTTATCACGTATACTGCATTTAATGTTGCAATGGAATGTGCTGGCCATTTCAAATTCATTCCGCCTTCACAAGATATATATTCATTACGGTTCCATTTTCATCCGCCGAGAAACGTCAAATAAAATTATTCGAAATACTTCAACACTTTTATAGAAATACCCTACGTTTTTGATTGGAAAATTTTTAAAAATATTTATCTGTAATGATTTTTGGTCACTCTTTTATTACAACAGTTTTAAGTATGTTAGCTTTTTGTTCAGTTTGTAAAACGCAAATGTAAAACTATACATAAATTAGTTGCAAATGGATAAAACGGGACATACAAACAGTGTTTTCTCTCCATAGTTCATTGTACAGAACGGGGGGATTTATATTGAAAACACGAATAGTTCATCCAATTGATGACTATCAAAACATCAATAATTAAATTTTGAAAAACATTGGAACATTTACCTGAAGAAACCATTGTTGAGTGCTGGGGAGAGCCACGTCCTGTTCATAGATGATAGGGCGCCCTTTCTTACCGTAACGAGTGACGGCTAGTGGGGACGCCTGACCGAGGGCGTACTGCAACGCAGCCTGTACACAAAAAGGTTATACTAAAGCTTGTGTGTCGGGATCTAGTCAAATGGTAGAAACGGCGAGTTCCTGTCGCATTTAGGTTATCAATATTGAGTTGGTTTGTTTGTGTTTTACGTCCTATTAACATCTATGGTCATTTAAAGACGTGCCAGGTATTGGTGGTTGCGGAAAGCCGGAGTTTCCGGAGAAAAACTCCCGACCTACGGCCAGTCCTGGCGACTGTACCACGTAGGTCTCGAACCCGGGACCCAGTAGTGGAGGGCTAGTGGTAGCAGAATATCAGACCCTTAAACCACTTTGCCACCGCGGCCCCTAGGTTATCAATATCATAGGTACATGTTTGCCTTCAAGGAACACTTTGTCTTGGTAACAACAATGGTGTGTGTGCAACTGCAGTGACGACAGGGCAAACAAAGAGAAGAGCAAACTTGTGGTGACATTACGATACCATAGCAAAACCACAGATGATAGATATGTTTCATGATCTGTTGATATTTTGTATCGTTGGTTGTTTTAGAACACTCTACTGAGATCATCAAAATTAATCATTAATGTTAAAAGTAAAAAAGGATTTTATTTTTTAGTTCATAATGAAAATAGCCACGAAAAGATCAATTATTTTGTCGTCTGGCACAAAATTCAAACGAATTCTCGAAAAGAACAAGATACATTTAATTTTGTTTTGTCTCTTTTGCACAAAGAATAGCAACTTTATGCGAATCACAGAAAATCTATTTTGCATCTTAAGCGGAAACTGATCCACGTACAAATGTACCAAGGGAAGACAACTCAGACCAACGCACCTGGTTTATTGAAACACAACTCTCGTTGTTTTCCATGTAAGTCTCATTTGGCAGGAAGGCTTTAATGGCGTCACGTGACTTCATCTCCGCCTGAAGTTGTATCGGCGACATGTAAAAGGTAGATACGTCTAGAGGGTTCGACTGGAACGCCACTTGAGTATAGGTTGTGATCGACAGCACGCCATCTTCAAACGTCATTTCCGGTGTAGACTGTAGCAATTGGCGCTCAGATACCACTTTGTTTACAATCTGTTTAAAACAAAAACTGAAAAATGTATTCACAATGTAAACCATGGTTTCGCCTAGGGTGACAGTGATAACCTCGGGATGACCCTAGGCACTGTCACAGTCAGCTTGGCCTCGGGTAACAGTGATAACCTCGGGATGACCCTAGGCACTGTCACACTCTATTGAACATAGTTTTTATTGTATTATACCGAAAGTCAATAATCTGTGAGGAGTTCGCACTTCAAATCACCACGAAAATCCCAATGGCCTTCTGCATTAGAAAGAAAGACACATTTCCGAGTATGCCTGTGTTTATCTAACTCTTTTATATGCCTAAAACAAACATGTCTGTTACATGTACCGTTTTACTCGACAACTTTGATAAAAAAAAGATTTATTTCCTTATTTGCACTCGGAGATGTGTTCATTTGCATAAGATGAGCGTAAACAAACCCTGACATTGGAGGTATACAAATCTTGACATTGAAGGTATACAAACCTTAACATTGGAGGTATACAAACCTTGACATTGGAGGTATACAAACACTGACATTGGAGGTATACAAACACTGACATTGGATATATACAAACACTGACTTTGGAGATATACAAACACTGACATCACTGGTATACAAACCTTGACATTGGAGGTATACAAACCTTGACATTAGAGGTTTGTAAATCTTGACATTGGAGGTATACAAACCTTGACATTGGAGGTATACAAAACTTGACATTAGAGGTATACAAACACTGACATTGGAGGTATACAAACACTGATATAAGAGGTATACAAACCTTGACATTGGAGGTATACAAACCTTGACATTAGAGGTTTGTAAATCTTGACATTGGAGGTATAAAAACCTTGACAATGGAGGTATACAAACCTTGACATTGGAGGTATACAAAACTTGACATTGGAGGTATACAAACACTGACACCACTGGTAAACAAACCCTGATATTAGAGGTATACAAACACTGACATTGGAGGTATACAAACCCTGATATTAGAGGTATACAAACTTTGACATTGGAGGTATACAAACCCTGATATTGGCAAACACTGATATTAGAGGTATACAAACACTGACATTACTGGTATACAAACCCTGATATTAGTGGTATACAAACACTGACATCACAGGTATACAAACCCTGATATTAGAGGTATACAAAACTTGACATTGAAGGTATACAAACCTTGACATTGGAGGTATACAAACCTTGACATTGGAGGTATACAAACCCTGACATCACAGGTATGCAAACCCTGACATTGGAGGTATAGAAATCCTGATATTAGAGGTATACAAACCTTGACATTGGAGATATACAAACCCTGACATTAAAGGTATACAAACCTTGACATTGGAGGTATACAAACACTGACATTAAAGGTATACAAACCTTGACATTGGAGGTATACAAACCCTGACATTAGAGGTATACAAACATTGACATGAGAGGTATACAAACATTGACATTGGAGGTATACAAACCTGACATTGGAGGCATACAAACACTGACATTGGAGGTATACAAACCCTGACATTGGAGATATACAAACCCTGATATTAGAGGTAAACAAACACTGACATTAGAGGCATACAAACACTGATATTAGAGGTATACAAACACTGACATTGGAGGTATAGAAATCCTGATATTAGAGGTATACAAACCTTGACATTAGCGGTATACAAACCCTGATATACGAGGTATACGAACCCTGACATTAGAGGTATACAAACCTTGACATTGGAAGTATACAAACCTTGACATTGGAGGTATACACACCCTGACATTGGAGGTATACAAACCTTGACAATAGAGGTATGCAAACCTTGACATTGGAGGTATACAAACCTTGACATTGGAGGCATACAAACCATTACTTATGAGGTATACAAACCCTGACATTGGAGATATACGATCCCTGACATTAGAGGTATACAAACCTTGACATTGGAAGTATACAAACCTTGACATTGGAGGTATACACACCCTGACATTGGAGGTATACAAACCTTGACAATAGAGGTATGCAAACCTTGACATTGGAGGTATACAAACCTTGACATTGGAGATATACAAACCCTGACATTGGAGGTATACAAACCTTGACAATAGAGGTATGCAAACCTTGACATTGGAGGTATACAAACCTTGACATTGGAGATATACAAACCCTGACATTGGAGGTATACCAACCCTGACTTTGGAAGTATACAAACCCTGACATGAAATGTGTACAACCCCTGAAATTGGAGGTATACAAACCCTGACATTAGAGGTATACAAACATTGACATGAGAGGTATACAAACATTGACATTGGAGGTATACAAACCTGACATTGGAGGCATACAAACACTGACATTGGAGGTATACAAATCTTGACATTGGAGGTATACAAACCCTGATATTAGAGGTATATAAACCTTGACATTAGAGGTATACAAACCCTGATATACGAGGTATACGAACCCTGACATTAGAGGTATACAAACCTTGACATTGGAAGTATACAAACACTGACATTGGAGGTATACAAACACTGACATTAGAGGTATACAATCACTGCTATTAGAGGTATACAAACACTGACATTGGAGGTATACAAACCCTGACATTAGAGGTATACAAACCTTGACATTGGAGGCATACAAACCATTACTTATGAGGTATACAAACCCTGACATTGGAGGTATACAAACACTGACATTGGAAGTATACAAACCGTGACATTGGAGGTATACAAACACTGACATTGGAAGTATACAAACCGTGACATTGGAGGTATACAAACACTGACATTGGAAGTATACAAACCGTGACATTGGAGGTATACAAACACTGACATTGGAAGTATACAAACCTTGACCTTGGAGGTATACAAACACTGGCATTGGAGGTAAACAAACCCTGATATACGAGGTATACATACAAAACTTGACATTGGAGGTATACAAACCCTGACATTGAAGGTATACAAACCTTGACAATAGAGGTATGCAAACCTTGACATTGGAGGTATACAAACCTTGACATTAGAGGTATACAAACCTTGACATTGGAGGTAAACAAACCATGATATAAGAGGCATACAAACCTTGACATTGGAAGTATACAAACACTGACATTGGAGGTATACAAACCCTGACATTGGAGGTATACAAACAATTACTTATGAGGTATACAAACCCTGACATTGGAGAGATATAAACCCTGACATTGGAGGTATACAAACACTGACATTGGAAGTATACAAACCGTGACATTGGAGGTATACAAACACTGACATTGGAGGTACACAAACCCTGATATACGAGGTATACAAACCTTGACATTTGAAGTATACAAACCTTGACATTGGAGGTATACACACCCTGACATTGGAGGTATACAAACCTTGACAATAGAGGTATGCAAACCTTGACATTGGAGGTATACAAACCTTGACATTGGAGATATACAAACCCTGACATTGAAGGTATACAAACCTTGACAATAGAGGTATGCAAACCTTGACATTGGAGGTATACAAACCTTGACATTAGAGGTATACAAACCCTGATATACGAGGTATACAAACCCTGACATTGGAAGTATACAAAACTTGACATTGGAGGTATACAAACCCTGACATTAGAGGTATACAAACCTTGACATTGGAGGCATACAAACCATTACTTATGAGGTATACAAACCCTGACATTGGAGGTATACAAACCCTGACTTTGGAAGTATACAAACGCTGACATGAAATGTGTACAACCCCTGAAATTGGAGGTATACAAACCCTGACATTAGAGGTATACAAACACTGACATTGGAGGTATACAAACACTGACATTGGAAGTATACAAACCGTGACATTGGAGGTATACAAACACTGACATTGGAAGTATACAAACCGTGACATTGGAGGTATACAAACACTGACATTGGAGGTATAGAAATCCTGATATTAGAGGTATACAAACCTTGACATTGGAGGGATACAAACCTTGACATTAGAGGTTTGTAAATCTTGACATTGGAGGTATACAAACCTTGACATTAGAGGTTTGTAAATCTTGACATTGGAGGTATACAAACCTTGACATTGGAGGTATACAAACCATTACTTATGAGGTATACAAACCCTGACATTGGAGATATATAAACCCTGACATTGGAGGTATACAAACACTGACATTGGAGGTATACAAACACTGACATTAGAGGTATACAAACCTTGACATTGGAGGTATACATACCCTGACATTGGAAGCATACAAACCCTGATATTAGAGGTATACAAACCTTGACATTGGAGGCATACAAACACTGACATTAGAGGTATACAAACCTTGACATTGGAGGTATCCCGGAGTCCGATTAACACTGTCTGAGCCTCGCTCGTCCACTTCGACACATGGAGAGGGTTGGTGGAAACACTCATCATGTTTGTAAGCGGCTGGTTTAACAGAACATTACAATTTTGTATATTTAAATTCTGTTCCATCCACTAAAGCAATGACCATTAAAACAGAAACGTTTTTATGTATTTTGGATTTTTGATTTTCAGAACTTTATCAGCTAAATGACAAAGAGTAGTATTTCACTTCACATTTTATAATGTTTCATCGATATTTTACACAATTTCTTAACGAGGACATGATAAATTATCCTGAAACATAATTGTAAATATGCGACAAAACGCGGACTTTTCGAAATGACACAGATTGATGGCGTTTCAAATTATATTCAAAACCTTACAGCCATGATGTAGCCAGTTGCTGTGTATCCCTCAGTGAGAGTTTTCCTCGCATTTGCGATTAAAGAGCTGTCTGCTATCGGAATATTGGCTCCCATGAAGGCGTTTGTATACTTGGCAATCAAGGAATAAGCTGTAACATTTGTCACTTCCGGTTCAAGATCGTACGCCAAAACCTCAGCAGGCATCGGACCAGAAGCAAACTGTCCATGGTTGACCCCCTCCATTGTTATAACTGGCGTCCGAAAGGTGGCGTTTTTGTTTTTGCGCACATCTGCTACCAGTTGTCTGAAAACAAAGAGTTAAACTGAGATAGGGTAAAAAGACATACTCTTCAAATCTACTTCACAAAATGAATTATTTACAATATCTCAATACACTGTTTTAAATTTCACATTAGAAGTGTAAGACAAAGGCGGAGATTCAGAACTCTGTTCTTACCAGAGAATAAAGATTGAAATTATGGACATCGTCTTAATGCCATCAAAACATATAAATGACCGTTTAAACCGCTGATCATATATTTTGAATATGGAATCGAATATTAGGAAACTGATGTATACAGGCAATACTGTTTGCTAGTGTCATATATCAAAATTACATGGACTTCTGTAGTGTTACTGAGAACTTGAATGAATTGACGGGCCAACGTTAATTTTGTTGTGCATTAATAAATCCTCAACACAATAAGGTCCTTCAGTACACTCGGTATACGATACACCAACCTCAGGTCTTGCTTCAGACTATCAGTGATTATCTTCATCTTGTAAGCCTATTCGATTTAATTGTTGCAGAACTATTATACTTTTTAACTATTTACACATTTAAAGATAATGCTGAAGATTTGCTCGAATTTGTAGACTTTATATTAGACCCTTCATCCAGTAGAAAGGGGGAATCAAATAAGGAACTCATAACATAAGTATGATTGATGGTTTACTTCAATCTCGATTTATTACTGTAACATGAATGTCACAGGGTTTCATTGTAGAAGTCTGACTTACATATTCCACGCATTTTAATATTTCAGTGAAATATTAACAAAGCTTTTACCAAAGTGTCACTCACTCGAAAGATTCTTGTATCCTTGTTATTCTGACCAAACCATCAAGGTCTCCAGCAATAGTAAGAACCGGAACCGGATATGACGTTGGTTCGACATTCCGAGTCAGGTATGATGCAAACAATAGGGCGCCGGACAGTCCGTTGTGATGGTTCAACACGTAGTTGGCAGTCAGCTGTCCTGTAAGTGTCAAACACAGATAAAAGATCAACAAAACACACATTCCGGTAAATATACCTTTTACATTTGGTAATATACACAGTATGCTACAAATAAATGACACTTTCACCATAAAGCTGCCCTTCTAACACTCATCAGTGATGGTCGGAACCAAAAGTTGGAAATCTAAGTAACTACTACTGAAGCAGAACGGGAGGTTCATTATGACCCTCCATTTATGAATTTAAAAAAACCCACTGGTTAATTGCTAAAGAGTAATAACTAAAAAGCGCATATTAGGAACCATGCTACTATTCCAAAATAATTGATGTGGCACCAAGTTAACAGTTAACCCGGGGAACTAAACAATCCACCAGCAGAGTCTATCACAGTGTATCCTGAACGATGAACGTAACCCACAACAGGTGACAGCATCTTTGTAAATAAGTAAGTTGGAACAAATACAGATCTGCTGCGCTGGTCTCGCAATCAAAATCAGTGTCACAAAATCAGCATTGATAAAAACACGTTTTAGAATAAATTCAAAATACATTTATATTAATAATGTGTTTTAGATAAAGAAATAAACAAAACATTAACGTAAAACACCTTTGTTCGATTTTATCACTTCTGAATGCCAAACAATGATGTCAAATTAGTCATTCGTACACAAATATTTAAATACATTGACCGTTCCAAGACATAGAGGATATTTAATGGTGTCTTCGGTAATAACAAATATATCTCACGAGTGTTGCTAATAAGAGCGTAGCTATCGAGCACCGAAGGAGCCCGAGCAAAGCTCTTTAATGGTAATACATGCGTGCGTAAACAGAGTTGCTTCCCCTTAATACACATTGCCTTTATTTTTATTCGTCCGGAATTTGACGTCCAGTGGGGAAACAGGAAGTGTTTCCTTGAAGAAAAGACAATTGTGTTTCACCCCATGCATGAATATCTTCATATAGTGAAAACAATCTTCATATTTTATTACTTGATTTTTTTTTATAAAAACTAATACTAACAGGCATGTAACTTCGTTTAGAGATTATCATACTATGACGTCACAAGCACGTCACAACCCATCGACCTTCATCGGTTATTTCCGACATTATTTTGCTTCAAGACTTTTTTATTTCAGTTTTTGCCACATGCACAAAAAGTAAAAATGCGGATATTTTCTGAAGATCCTTTTTTGTTAACAACCCGGTTCTGTTAATATTTTTACTAGAATTTCATCAGCTTTTGATTTCCATTTGTTGAGAATATGAAAGAAATAATTAACATTTTTAAAAGTCTGGTTATAATCTTTAAATTATTTATTTATATCACCACTCATAAAAGAAACAATGCAAAATGCATTTATGTCGAAATCAACAAAAAAAATCCAGACAACCAACCCAAGTGCAACGCCCTATTTCAGCAACGTATTACTTTTTTCACAACGCGTGCCGATTTCTAACTAGTAACAGACAGAAACTGTTTAATTTTATTTGGCATAAAAAAAATCGGTGTTTTAGGATGGAACAGTAATTTAGACTACATATCGATATAACGACAATCTCAGTAACATCGAAGTATTACAATGTTTTCTTTTTTTTCAATTTTCTTTTTGCAACTTACTTCTCTATACATTTTCTTAGACTAATCGTCAAATATGTATTATGTACTTTTTTCTATTTCAATTACCAAACAGTTTTTCCCCAACTTTTCTCAATAATTCTTTTTGTGCCCTGACGGAAGCACGCAGAGGATTTAAATCTTAATTTGGGAGGAAGCTGGAGTATCCGGAGAAAGTCCGCGTGGTCGGGCAGGTGACCGAAATTGAATCCGGCCATCTTGGTGAAGTCGAGCGCACTATCCACTGCGCCACCCGACCAATCATAAACGTTACGCACAAGAACGAATATCTACTTTAGCTTTGACTGGAAGAAAATTACGTCATTGATGTGTATTGTGAATACATTTTTATCAATCATCAATGATACAAAAAATCTACATACGGGACCGGGGCAAGTTCGGCCACCCCTGATATTTTTGTTTTTGAGCTAATAGTTACAACTTTAAGGATCTTAGCAGTTTTGTTGGCTAGGCATTCTACGAAAAAATGGTGAGGAAAACTCTAATGTAAAATTACCAAACAGGAGAAAATTACTTTTGAGAGGGTAGAATCAGTCTACCTTTTTAGACCACCAAGTTGTTGTACCACAAGAGATTATTATCACGGGTGATGTAAATTTCCACTTAGACGATCTATCAAATGTTGATGCTCGCCAGTTCGCTGGTCTACTAGATTCCAGGGGTCTGATTCAGCATGTGACAGAAGCTACACACACCCATGGCCACACACTTGATGTGTCATAACGAGGAAAGATAACTCAGTCATTCATGGAGCTATTTCAGTGATTGATCCATGTCTAAGTGATGTAAAGGGGAACCAATCTGGTGATCATCTTGCTGTCCACACAACACTGAATTGTAGTAAGCCAGCTCGTACAAGGAAAGAAGTGAGCTTCCGGAAATTCCGCGAAATTTCAATTTCAGATTTCAACAATGACATTCAGTCTTGTTCCGCCCTTCAATCTACTGAAGGCGAGGTTGATGATCTTGTTGAAGCATACACATTTGGTATAGAAGCCCTTATAGAGAAACACGCTCCTCTGAAAACTAAGGTCATAACTGTGAGACCGAATGCCCCGTGGTATAATGAAAATCCCCGCGTGGAAAAACAGAAACGTAGACAAGCAGAGAGAAAGTGGCGACGGACCAAATTAACCGTTCACCAACTGATTTATAGAGAGCAATGTCGGCTAGTTGGTTCACTGCTCTTTCAGGCAAAGAAGGCTTATTATTCGGAAAAAATCGAAGAATGTGGCGAGGATAAAAGACAACTTTACAGACTCACCAAAAACCTAATGGGACAGAAAGGTGAAATTATCCTACCAAGCTGTAATTCTGAAAAAGACTTAGCAAACAAGTTCAGTGATTACTTTCTGAATAAAATCAGCTCAATTAGGAAAAATATTACCGAAGTGAACACCTCTGCTGACCTTGACATCTCTGTCATGACTGCTGACATTGCATTTGATGGTGAACCATTGACAAAGCTCTCACCAACAACCCAGGACGAGTTGCGCAACATTATCATGACCTCGCAATCGAAGTCCTGTGAGCTTGATCCACTGCCTACAGACCTATTAAAGCAATGTCTTGAAGCACTGCTTCCTTTGACTAACGCAATCATGAACAAATCATTGGTTGAGTCAAAGGTTCCATTATGTTTCAAGAAGGCACATGTCAGACCATTGTTAAAAAAGCCTGGAATGGACAAGGAGAAGTTGAAAAACTACCGCCCAGTTTCAAATCTGCCTTTTCTTTCTAAGATCTTGGAGAAGGTTGTGTCCATGCGTTTAGAGGTTCATCTCCATGCAAACAGTCTCCATGACAACAAGCAATCGGCCTACCGCATGGGACACTCTACTTAGACGGCCCTCCTACATGTACATAGTGATATAGCTTCTGCATTGGATAACAAGTGCAGAGCGGTGCTTGTCATGCTGGACTTGTCAGCTGCATTTGACGTCATCGACCATGGCATACTTTATAAACGTCTGGAATACTCTTATGGAGTGACTGATACCGCACTATGCTGGATACAGTCATACCTGAGTGAACGACGACAGTGTGTTGCCATCGGATCTGCCACCTCACATGACAAAGTACTAGATTTCGGGGTTCCTCAAGGGTCGGTGTTAGGACCACGAAAATATTGTATGTACTCCAAACCGATTGGAGAGATTTGTCGTCGCCATAGCCTTCGCTATCATTGCTATGCTGATGACACACAAATTTACATGGTCATAAAACCACAGGACAGTTGGAATACAGTCTCAGAAAGTCTGGAAGCTTGTCTGACAGATATCAGTATCTGGATGAACGCCAACATGCTTAAACTTAATCAGGAAAAGACGGAACTAATCGTCTTTTCCCCAAAGTGTCAGCAAACAATGGCTCTCCAGCTCAAGGTTGGTGCCAGAACTATTGAGACTGTTCCAGCTGTTAAAAACCTAGGGGTATACTTTGACAGTTCTCTGAACATGGAGAAACAAGTGAACGCTATTGCCAAATCCTGTTACTACCAGATCAGGAACATCGGCTGTATTCGGCAGTTTCTAACTACAGATGCATGCAAGATTTTGGTGCATTCACTTGTTACCTCTCGGTTGGATTATGGTAACGCCCTGCTCTGTGGTATATCTGACAAACTAACTAGTCGTCTGCAGAGGGTCCAGAACACTGCAGCACGGCTAGTTACTCGTACTCGAAAGAGAGAGCACATCACACCTGCGATTCATTCGTTGCACTGGTTACCTGTACGATACAGGTCGCAGTACAAAATTCTGGTATACACATACAAGGCACTGAATGGAACAGCTCCTCAGTATCTACAGGAGCTTGTTACCCTGTATCAGCCGTCAAGATCACTGCGGTCGTAGTCAGAATCTTTGTTGTGTGTCCCAAAATCTCGTACTGTGACGTACGGAAACAGATGCTTTGGGAGGGTTTCGGGCTACGTTGTGGAATAGCTTACCATCTGCTAGTAGGAAGTCAAATACCCTGGCCAAGTTCAAGAGGGACATACAAACTCACCTCTGCACGTCTGCATTTTAGAATCTTTGCAAAGACGTCACGTAAATACCACCCTTTTATTTGTTCAATTATGTGCACAATTATGTATGAAAGTGATTGCAAGCCTTTGTTGTTTGTTTTCACAATTATAACCATTACTATTATCCATATGTTGTAAAGCGCCTTAGAGTAGTTTTCCAAATTATATAGGGCGCTATATAAATGTTGTATATTATTATTATTATTAGAAAGAAAATCATGTTCTCGCTTCTAGTTATGCGAACTGTTTGAAACGGAATTGCTACTTTTTTACGGTCAAACGTGTTACACACTGAAATGATATACATAAAAGCCAATCACTCACTACTATTGCTGTACGATAAGAATTTATT